ATGTTTTACATGTATTTCACAAATGGTTTTCCACATTTTATCAGTTAAAAGCATAACATTAAAACATTTGAACATAATACCTGTACACTGTTTTGTCCTCGGTAACACTCCCCACACTTATACGAGTGGAGGACTATCATATTATTACTAGTAAATTTGTTATTCCTGTATGATTGGAGACACGTCCTCGGAGAACACTCCACCCAGGTTACGTGAGTGGAGGACTACACCCATAACTAGAATCTCTGGTATTTAGAGAGCGTGACTTGAGTGTATAGATCTATACGGGGCTGACTACCCCACACCTGGCTGCTAGCTACAGCCGAACCGAAATGGTTCAAGGGTGACGAAAGTCATAAGTATGTGGACGACTTATTGCCACAGGTTTCAGTCTATTGTATGGTTATGGAACTCGCAATTAGGATAACAGAGATTTACTTACAGTAATAATGGATTACTTTATACATCGTTTACATCTTTTACATCTTTTACATTACTATAACTAACATTCAGGAAAGTACGGGACTTTCCTGGGGAAAACATGGAACCTAACCACGATTACATCTTTTACATCTTTAACATCGTTTACATTAGAAACCTACATGCAGGAAAGCATGGGGCTTTCCTGGGTAACACTTACATAACTAGAAAGAGTAACAAACTGGATAACATTACATCTTTTACAATTTGTAACATACAATAAGGAAAGTATGGGACTTTCCTGGTAACACATGATAAGTAAACAGAACAGTTTAACCAGTCAGATAACCAACTATACATTTTCACATGAGTAAACATGTTTTCAGTGTACAAACTTACTATACTTTACATTTGTTAAACAATAACCAACTTTTAAGAAAATATGGGATTTTCTTGGTGTACATAACATTTCAGAAACAGAAAGGAAACCGAAACATTTTCACAAACAAAAACCGCTTATGAACTCACCAGGTTTGTGCTGATTTTCAAACCGCTTGTGTTCTCAGGTCAACGTTAGAACAGGTACCCGAAGATCCTTTTGCTCGAAGACGGAGTACATGAAGATCCGTTTCATTTTGTTTATATATACTATGTATCACAACTGTACAAACTTTACTTCTGAAACTACTGTAAAACTTTTATTATGTAATGTAATGGTTGCTTTACTTTACTTACTATGTGCATTGGATTTGATACTCAACGTGGTAGTCAACCCCGAAAATGTATTCCGCCTTCGGTTTTCGGGGTGTGACAGTTTTCTTCGTGCATATGTCCTTAACAAAGAAAACATTTGGATAGAGTTCAATAAACACATGATTATCAGTAACAAGTTTATTTGCTGAAAGAAGATGTTTGTCAATATGAGGAACTCTAAGAACATTTTTAAGAATGAGGGGTCGTCCTAAACTTTGAATTTTAGAGTGACCAACACGAGAGATATGCAAACTTGTGCTATTAGCTACTTGGACTTGGTCTTTCCCATGATAGCGCTCCGGTATGGACAAGCGATCCAAGTCATTTGTGAGATGATCCGTTGCTCCCGTGTCAAGGTACCAATTTGTATCATTGTTGTAGTTGCCATAAGTGACGCTGTTGCCACCTCGATATTCTTCATTTTGATAGGCATGGTTAAAACGATTTCGACAGTTCAATGCTATGTGTCCTGGTATGCCACAAACCTGACACCGGGGGTCTCCTCTTCCTCTCCCACGCCCTCGTCCACGATAACCATTATTTCGGTAGTTGCGTTGGTTACCATTGTTGCTTGAGTTACTGTGCCCAAAGTTATTTCTTTGAGGTTTTCGAGGGTTGCTGGGTTCTTGCTTTGTAACAACATTTGCAGAAGAGGCAAATTCTATCGATCCATTCATGGCCGCTGATTGAGCTTCATGGGCGACAAGGTATGAATAAAATTTAGAAAGTTTGACTTCCTGATTGTTGCTCAATACTGTGATTGCAGTAAATAAATCACCATGCCCGGGACCTAGTCCGGCTAGGATATATCCGATGACCTCCTCATCCGTCATAGGGTGTCCAATGTTAGCCATAGTATCGGCTAATGATGTCATATTCTGGTAATATTCAGAGGCACTCATGTCTCCTTTCTTTGCATTAGACAATTGTGTACGAATTTGGATGGAATTAACTTTGTGTTGTGCTGAAAACATGGTTTGGAGAGTGGTCCATAATTGATTTGATGTCTCTGTACAGCGGGTGAGTTGTGAGAGAACTTCTTCCGTCATAGACGATAGTAGTCCTCCAAGTACAGCCTGATCCTGAGTGAACCATGTTTCATACGCAGGATTATCGATTTTCCTGGTAGCATCTCCTGTGCCAGTCGTGACCTTCTTTGCTGGAGCTTGAGTGGTGCCATCAAGATAGCCGAAAAGCTTGACACCTCTTAGGATCGGCACAACCTGTTCCATAGAAGGTGATTTGTGTGTGTCAATCTGCAGGTTATTGCGGTGGCAATTTTGGAGGAATTGATGAGTGTTGTAGCCATGGGAATTCTTTTGATTGAAGAAGGGTAGATGCAGCAGTTTTAGCGAGAGGGATCCTTTGGATCTAGGCTCTGATACCAAGTTAAAGAACAAAAATTATTGGCTTGAATCTCTCGCAGGAGTGTGTTTGTCATTATATAGATAGCAATTACAAAGCTAGATCCATAACAAACGGATCTGGATAAATACAACAACTATAAGATAAATACAATTAATCTTATCTACTCTATTTTAAACTATTCCAAATTACCCTTCAGTTTACACACACACACATATATATATATATATATATATATATATATATATATATATATATATATATATATATATATATAATGTGTGTATATCCGAACCAGTGTGGCATCGTTTTGTGGACACCTATAGGGACGACTTATCGTCCCTATAGGGTTTTGCCGAATTAAAACCACAAAAAACCCTTTTCCCCGAATCGGGCGCACCAGCAAATACAATTTCTCTCGTGAGCTCAGGGTGAAATCACCGATACCTGCAAGTGTATAGGTAAATGTCGATCGTTTCTTGACCACCGTTTCCCTCGTCTACTCCTTCAACCTTTCACTGAGACATTCTCCCTCCAGCTCGGGATTGAATCAGTTTTCTGAATTGCAGGGCAGCAGTGGTCTCCCTCTTTCCGGCGGTCTCTATCTTTTCTGCGTCCGACTTTCCCCACTTCGTCAACATGTATGAACGAATCTTTATAATATTTTTTTTTGTTTTTTGATCTATGATTGCTGTATGTGAAAGTTTAGAATAAGTTTTTGTGTTGTGAAAGCCTAGAATCAGTTTTTGGTGATTTGGCTGTGTTTTTCATAAACAATTGTCTAAATGTGCATAAAACTTTATGAATGTTTATGGTTATTGATTTCAATAAATTGAAGTTGTGAATTTTTTTGGTTGTGAAGTTTTTGTGCTGTGAAAGCTCAGAATAAGTTTTTGGTGATTTGGCTGTGTTTTTTCACAAATAATTGTCTAAATGTGTTTAAAACTTTATGAAACTTTATGTTTAGTGATTTCTATACATGGAAGCTGTGAAGTTTTTGGTTGTGTGTGATTTTGTTGATCATAAAAAGTTATAAGTTCTTGGTTACGTTTAGGATACAAACTTTATGAAAATTATTGTTTCAAGCATGTTAATGTGGTTGTATAGCATTTTAGTTTTGTCCTTTTTTGTCTAAAATTGAAGTAGAATGCTATAAAAATTAACCACATAAATTTGATGAAGCTTGTTTGGATGCAATTTTAAACCACCATCAATATTTTAAAGCCTAAAAACATGTTTGTAACCAAACAAAAACAAAGCAACAGTCTACTCATCCCATAAATCGGGTACCACTAGGCAAGTTTAACCAATTTGACAAAAAAAGAGGTTCATAAATTTTTAAACTTAATCTAAATTAATCCAAAATGGAAAAACACAATCGAAATTTTTTGACAACCCATAAAAAAGGCACCAAGTAATCATGGCTCATTGTTTAAAACCACTAGCCCCTTTTTAAAAAGGGAGGGAACCCTCTCAATTTCCTCCCACCTACGATGTGCGATGGAATTGTTATTCCAAAATTTGAATAAATCTACTTTTCATAGTAACAATTTTAAGCAAATTGAGCATGTCGGTATCTGGAGACAGTGCCACCAGAAACAATTAAGTGCAAAAGATAATGAGTTTGGTATGGAAATGATTGACTAATCGAAAAAATGCATCAGAGTGCTCCGTATATAATTTGGAGTTTCTGGAATTAAGTCGGAGTTTAACTGGTAGAATTCCAAAAACACTTGGAAGACTGTTGAATTTAAGACAACTTGATCTATCAGATAACAGAATGACTGGTTCGTTCCTGAATCTCTGAGCAGATTAAGTTTTTTCACAAGTACTCGAATCTAACTCAAAACCAATGACTGGTCTCATTCCAAAATCCCGTGGAAAATTGGCAGCTTTAACAGATATGGATCTAGGATCTAATTTTTTTTTTTTTTTTAAAATGGGATTATTGCAGTTACAATTGGGTGACTTGCCAAACTTTGTTCTCTCTATGTCTCTAAAAATTATTTAGATGGAGCAATTATTGAAGTTCATTTTGCTAACCTTTCAATGTTAGAGCATTTGCATACTTCTTCTAACACTAAGTTAACTTTCAATGTTTCACATGGGTGGATACCTCCATTCCGGTTGATATCTCTTTATCGCAGTTCTTGCAATATCAGTGATGGATTTCCTCAGTGGCTTCGAAATCAAAGGAAACTTCATATGTTAGAGCTGTCAAATTCCATAATTTTAGGACCTCTACCCACATGGTTGCAGGAGATGCCTATCATTCCTTAGTTAGATCTCTCTCACAACAGACTTACCGGACCTTTGACAAAGCTTCCTAATAGAAGAAATGATAATGTTTTTATATTTTGGTCTTACCCCGTATTATTTCTTTAATATAACCTTTTCAATGGGTCGATTTCGAGGTCATTGTGCAGAAGGTATATTTGCAAGAACTTGATCTTTCTAGAAATATGTTAAGTAGGAAAATTCCCAACTGTGCGGGGAATCTGCAGAGTCTGACTATCATGAGATTAAGCTCAAATCGGCTCTCTGGTGTCATTCAACGTTCATTAGCTCTTATTCCATCATTATTTTGTTCAAATTTGAACGATAATAACTTTATTGGTGAACTTCCTCAAGAATTAGGGAATCTACAAGGTTTGGAAGTCTTAGATTTGGTTGATAATAAGTTCTTTGGAAATATACCCAAATGGATTGGGAAAAACCTTACATCTTTGTTAGTTTTGAGGTTACACAAAAGTAACTTCATAGTTAGAATTCCTCCATCTCTATGCAAAACTTCAACTCTTCAAATTTTATATCTTGCATACAACTTAATGGGAACCATCCTTCGTTGTGTAGGAAAGTTAAATTCCATGATTGAGAGTCACTCAAGAATTGTGTATCCTTTCGATATCAATCATGATAATAATGTGATTCAGTTCATGAAAGATGTTGATATTGAATATACAACAACTTGGAGAATCGTTTTTAACATGGATCTTTCAAGCAATAAACTCATGGGAGAAGTATTGGTCAAGCTAACTACACTTTTTTGTTGTTGGGTATGAATTTGTCTAACAATCATCTCTGTGGGGGTTTTCCAGATAGCATTGGAAACATGACACAATTATTTTCTCTTGATTTCTCAAAAAATGAGTTGAGCGGGAGGATCCCTTCAAGCATGGCATCTTTGAGCTTTTTGAGCCATTTGAACAGGGTTTTGGGGTGTTATTGGAGTTTTGTTATTCAAGACGAAGTGGAGATAGATGTTTTTCATGTTTGCTGAGGAATCCATGGACAAGATATATGTTGCAGTCATGGTACAAACTTCCAAAATCAAGAGAGGAAGAGAAGTTGCATAGATCCTATGGAATGCATATAAGTCTCAAATTTATGTTATTAATGATTGTTTTCCTTTTTTAGAAATGCTATTGTGATTATTAATGTATATTACTATTTGGATTTTGTATTTGTATGACCTTTGTAATACTGGTTTTGTTTTGAGGTACCTATTTACAAAATTCTATTGAATTTGGTATTTATACATGATCAAGTTGTAGATTAGATTACTACGGATTTGAGTTGTTTTGATTCTTTTTTCTTTTTAATTCAGCTCTCTTGCTTTCAACCATCTGTTGTTGCTTTTAGTCCCACCATACTATTGCATCCATCGGCTTTCAAATACATTGGTCCAAGTAAGAACCATGTAAAATACTCATTTATTCTTTATTTTTAATTTTAAGTTTTTCAAATAAAGGACGAGGGTGATTAGATGGAAGGTAGAATTTTTTGTTGGATTTGGTATTAAGATTTGAGTAATTGTTTGGCAATGGAGGTCCATATAGATGTTTTCTCCCAACATAAATTGATGGATTGGTAAGCGTCTGCAGTTGATTTCCTGTTGGAATTTGTCCTGAAAAGTTGTTGTGTGACAAATTCAAATGGCTCAAAAATGTCAAAGCTGCCATGCTCAAAGGGATCCTCCCGCTCAACTTGTTTTTAAAGAAATCAATAGAAAATAATTGTTTCATGTTTTGAATGCTCTCTGGAATACCCCCACTGAGATGATTGTTAGACAAATTTAGACCCACCAACTTAGAAAGCACAGTTAGCTCGACTGGTATTTCTGCCACAAGTTTATTGCTTGAAAGGTCCATGTTATAAACCATTCTCCAAGTTGTTGTATACTCAAGATCAACACCTTTCATGCCCTAAATCACATGCTTATTCACACTCAAGTCGAGGTATTTAAGATGCTTCAACTCTGCCAAAGAAGAGGCCATCTTATTACCAGTTAAGTAGTAATAGTCGTCTGCTTCGAGATGGAGGCGTTGAACATTTGCAGTGATGCCATCACACTGGATTCCTCCCCATAGGCAACACTCTGTAACACCCGGTTCCTGGTACGTATTTAAATTCAAGTAACTTCATGTTTTGCTCTGGGACTCGGCGAGTTGGAGGCCCAACTCATCAAGTAGACTCGACTTTTGATCCAGGGGTTAATGGACCTACTCAACGAGTCGGAAGACCGACTCGGCGAGTAGGACTGTGTGGATGAAAACCTAATATTTGGGTTTGCACCTTATTTAAACAACTTATAACGCCCCAACCCAGCCTCCATTGTCCCTCCCAAGCCAAAGAAAGCCCTAACCCGAACCTTAAGCCTCTATTATGTGTTCTTGAGCTTGTTGGTGCCTTTTTGTGTGTTTTTGAAGTTGGAAAGGAGGAAGGAAGCTTGGGAGTTCAAGTAGAAGAAAGAAGATCCAGAGTTTTTGCTCCATTCTTAGTTCATTCAAGGTAAAAACTTGGAACCTTGACCATCTATCTGTTAGATCTTCATTTGGGGCTATTTTCCACCCTTCTTATTGGTTTAGTGAAGCTATAATCGGATTTTGCGTATGTGCTTGCAGTTGCACTTCAGATATGGAACCATTGGGGTCCTTATGGCATAAAGGTGCCAACATTGTTGCCATAAGAACCCCATGCATTTTGTAGATTTCATTTTATGGTCTTTTGAGTCAAAAACCCCATGCATGGACGTCAAGATTGCAACTTTATATATAAAAGGGACCCTAGGAGGTCAGATCTGTAGTTGGATGCTTTGAGACTCATTGAAATCGACTGTATAGTTGTGGAAAAGGAGGGACTCGGCGAGTCGGTCATGAGACTCAGCGTGTCGGACTGTATTTCCCATCAAACCCTTTCTGTTCAGGGAGTAGGAGTTATAATAGAGGGGCACCTAGTCGTTGGGGCTCATTAAGGACCTGGAAATCATAGGATTCGACGAGTGGATAAACAAACTCGGCGATCCCAAGGCAATGTCCCAACCCTATAATGATGGACTCGATGAGTTCAAGGAGAACTCGGCGAGTCATATGATGGGTTTTATACAAACAATCCTATGTGTGCATGCAACTCTAGATTTGGATCTATGTTTTCACTATTAGATACACAACATTATGAAAACATGAATAAAACCCTAATGTAGCTTGCTATTTTCGAAATTCATATATAAGGTTAGATCACATACCTCTTGTTATATTGCAGTAACAACTTAAATCTTCAAACCCTAAGTCTTGAAAGCAAGCACCACAAGTGTAGTGCCTCTAATGGCTCACAAACACCACAAGCAATTGGAGAGGCTATACAGAGAGAAGGAGAGAGGTAGAAATCGGCCTAGGGATCTCTTTGAAGCAAGTGAAACGATTTCTTAAGGCCTAGGGGTCTTTATATAGGGTTGGGATTAGGGTTTCAGACCTTATCCTTATCTAGTTGCTTGCCCACCAAGCAACCACAAGATAAGCCTTGATAACCCTTATCTCTTGGACCATATGGACGATTTCAAGCATATCCAATCCCTTGAATTCGTCCACCCTTCTCGAAGGATAATCATTGCCCTATTTTCAACTATCGCATAATTACAATTCAACCCCTCTAGTTTAATTAATTACACTTGATCACAAAATTAATTCCTAATTAATTATTGACCAATATTAATTAAACAAATATGATTTCTCCTTTAATATATTATTCTTATAACATATTAATAAATCATAATAACCCCTTTCTCTATTTATTTCTCCAGTCAAGTTGCTTTGGTGAAGGCAACCCAAAAGGACCATGCACAACCGGGTCAAGTATTTACCAAATATGGTTACGGGCTTAGACACTAATCCAACAGTCTCCCACTTGGATAAGTCTAGTAACCACAAATGTAACATACAACTCGATTAGCAATCGTAGCTCTCAAAGATGTTGTTGTACTCTGATTTTATCAGTAACCTGTCCTTTAGATAAGGGATCGTACTGTCCTCTATTTAGATATCGTGCAGACAATTTCATGGAACTAATTGTCTTGCAGTTTGTTTCTCGATCTCAGATTCATTTGATATAGAAATGAGTTGAACATATCAATTCAATCCTGACCAGGCCCGACACATAAGTCAAATAAAATCATCGAGCAGCCGTGATATCGCTTTTACCCTCTTAGGATAGAAGTAACAGATAAACTTCGACTTATATGCATTTACTATTTATTAATCAACTATACACAATAATGCGTTTTATGACATCAATTTACTGATGCGGTTTCGCATTATCAATGTACAACCAATTAGTAAACAATAAACCATATATCTTGGTTTTAAGACCATATGATATTATCGTCTTGCGATCACTTTTGTCACATTCCATAAAATGATTCCAGCAAGTGCGGGTTTATTCCAATGCTCAAAACTTGTTCATAAGCACTCATGAACGTTGCATCAAACCTTTGCTATGTCTAATACCTTTTTAGACACTCTACACACCAATTCATGACAATCTTCATTCATACCTACTTCCAACATATGAACGATTGTGGACCATTCGAATAATTCGATTATTCTTAATAACTCAATTATTCAGGAAGTCAAAACACGCAAATTGAATCAATAGTTAAACAATTAGCATAAGACAGTAACCTTACTTATAAACAATACTCCTTTATTTAATCATCAAATGTCAATTACATTTATCCATTATATGTTTCTAAAACTATCTAATCTAAACTAATATCATCCTTCAGCCCAATGCTCCTAGCGTGCTGCAAGTGCTTAAGCCTACCCAGTCCCTTCGTAAGCGGATCTGCTGGGTTATCATGTGATGATATCCTCTTAACCACGAGGTGTCCTTCTTCTACTTGATGTCTAATAAAATGATACTTTCTGTTGATATGCCAAGATCTACCACGATCCCTCGGCTCCTTGGTCAAGGCAACCGCTCCTTCATTATCACAGAAAATTTCCATAGGCTCCTTTATGGCAGGCACAACTCCAAGGTCACCAATGAAGTTTTTCAACCATATCGCCTCCTTTGACGCTTCGCTCGCTACAATATACTCTGATTCGCACGTTGAATCAGCTACAGTTTCCTACTTGGAACTTTTCCAAGTCACCGCTCCTCCATTTAGGGTAAAGACCCAGCCTAACTGCGAACGGTAGTTGTCTCTGTTAGTCTAGAAACTGGCATCACTATACCCTCGCACCTTTAAGTCATCACTCCCTCCGAGGACTAAAACCTATTGCTTGGTCCTCCGAAGGTATATAAGGATATTCTTAACCGCAATCTAATGAGTTTTTCCCGGGTTCCCCTGATATCTACTGACCATGCTCAAGGCAAAGGACACATCAGGGCGAGTACAAGTCATAGCATACATGATCGAGCCAACTGCAGAAGTGTAGGGTACTTGGCTCATCTTTGCTATCTCGGCTTCTGTACTCGGACTTTGAGTCTTACTCAACTTGGCATTACTCTGTATCGGTAGTTCTCCCTTCTTTGAGTTTTCCATACTACAATGTTTTAGTACTTTATCCAAGTAAGTATTTTGACTAAGTCCTATTAGTCTCTTACTTCGTTTTCTCAATATCCTTATTCCCAAAATATAGGAAGCCTCTCTGAGGTCCTTCATAGCGAAGCACTTCCCGAGCCAGGACTTAACCTCCTGCAGAGTCGGGATGTCGTTTCCTATGAGCAGTATGCCATCAACATACAAAACGAGGAAGCTAACTATACTCCCATTGGCCTTGAC